TCCTTCACAGGGCCTCTGGTGAAGAACAGCTTTAAAAATAACTTTAAAAACTACAACTAGGGCCGAAGGGATGACTCAGTGGTTAAGAATACACTGTTCTTACAGAGGAAGAGTTTGGTTCCCAGTCACCACCCCAACCGCACGCCTTCCGTGCCAGTTTACCCACAGGTAACTCCAGCTGCAGAGAATTCAGTGTCCTTCACACATGCAACACCTATACTCACACATATATACGCAAAATTAAAAATAAGAATAATAATGTATTTTTTAAAAATACAACCATTTATTTAAAGATGCATGGTTCTTTGACGAAAACACACAGATGGTATTCAGCTGTTCTGTCTCGTGCTTTTAAAACTCGGTTAGCTTTGATTTGTTCAAGGCAGAAGCCAAACCAGCCTGCTGTTGCATTTTCCTGGTGTCCTTTAGTCTGTTTTAGCTTGTACTATTTCCCCCAGCAAGTTTTGTTTGTTTGTTTTGTTTTTCTTCAGGCAGGTCTCACTCTCAAGCCCCTGCTGGCCTAGAACTTGTTATACAGGCCAGCGTGGGCGTGAATTCACAGAGATCCTCTTGCCTCTGCCTGTGGAGTATTGGGATTAAAGTCCAGCTAATGGAGAAAACCAGTTCTCCCCACTTTGAATTTCTCAAGCTGGTGTTTTCGGATTGTGTTTCCATGGTGTTGCTAATGTGATTCTGGAAGACCTAGATCTGACGGAATTCAGATTTTTTAAAACTTCTTTGTGGATGAAAAAGTAACAAAATATTGTATTCTTTTAAGGAAAAATACAGCATAAGATTATATTAAATTTCTATTCAAAATAGGAGTTATTGCATGCCTATTTCTCTTCTTTTATGTTATGTTCAGAAGGGAAAAAAAACCTAAATTTTTAGGTTGAAAAACTTGGTTCTTAGTAAAACTGATTATTTGTTGATCACACGAGCACACAAATGTGCACCATTACTGTCATGACTCAAGTGTTTTTAAAGTTAATTTTTGCTAGATTTGATTTTTGAGATGCGGCGTCACTTTGCCGACAGTCTGATCTCCAGTTTGAGGGCTCTGTCGTTTCTCCTGTCTCAGTCTATTTGAGCAGCTGAACTACAGGCTCATATAGGCCAAGCTAAGCCACTTAAATTAACTGTCCTCAAGTATGTAAGCTGTCAGCTGCCCAGATAGGTTCATTTTCATCTCATTTGTCTGTTCATGAGGCAGCCCCCATTTATTGCCCAATTTAATTAATAAATTAATTGAATTAATTACTTAGCTCTGGCTGGCCAGGCACTCAGAGATTGCCAGTCTCTCTGTTAATCCCACTGATCAAGAATAAGACCGCTACCACAGTTTAAAGCCAAATTTGAAGTAAGCTTTAATTAAATACTGGCCAGGTAGATGGATTCTGGCCAAATTCATATCTTATGTTCCTGGGAAATGGCCCAGAATCAAGTATGGCAAGGGCTTAAGAAGGAAAACCTAATTCATTGCATTTCCCAGCAGGTCCAATCAGGGACAAGCATGTATTCTGACTTATTTCCTGCCTACACACCTCACACCCACATGTGATCTGGTGAAGACAGGTCAAACAAATTTGTTTAGGGGAATGAAAAACATGTGGCTTGTTATCCCCCATAAACAACAGCCTCCAGCATTTCAGGAACCATCGGAGGCATTTTTTTTTCACGTATTTCTAAGGCATAGTAATTACAACTTAAAATATAACTTTGGCTCTCACCTCTCCTGGAATCAATTTGGTTTTATAATAATTGAGGTTTTAAGGCACAGAAGAAAAGGCAGTCAGGGTGTTCAAGGTAGCCCCTTGTACCTGTTTCTCAACAAGGTGTGGACAGATCCTTTCTGATGGTGACTTCTCTTTCGGTCTGTTGATGAGGTTGGCTGCTTCCAGTTGAGGACAGTTCACACAGTGTTCTGGTGAACAAGTATGCCATTAGACTTCACAGAGCTTAAAGCTTTATTCTCGGCTCGGGCATTTGGAGGAGAAGAAATTTTGGGCCTCTATCAGGTGCAACCCAGGCCAAACTTTAACCTTGATACCATTCCAATGCTATGGATCGGAGGTAAAGGAAGAACAGAGGTAGTTGCAGTGGATAGTGATAAGGGCTTGGGATGTTCTGGGAATCAGGGACAGGAAACCTGAATAATGGGAAGATATGCTCAAAGAGGCATGAAAGGTATCGCATCTTAGAAGATGACCTCCCTATGATCGTGATCCATGTAGACACCTACACTCCCTGTACAGACCCACGAATTCTCCTGGGGATCGGTGGCTCAGTGAGCAGCTGGCGTCAGGAGCCAGAGATGCCAAGCTCCCAGAAACCATACAAAAGTTTCATCTGCAGATGGCCTAGCCCGGGAGTGAGCTGGGAGATCTTACTCAATATGCTGACCCTGTTCACGCAGGAGACTAATTCTCAGGGGCCCAGGGAAACCACCTCCAGGACCCTGGGCCTGAGGAAATCAGGGGACAGGGGTCGGGGAAATCAGTGGAAAGGGTAGCTCTGCTCTATTGCTTCTCTCAACAACGGGGCCTCTGACTTTGCTCTTGGATCTCTAGCGTCAGGTGAGTCTTCAGCAGGCAGAGGTATCTCAAGAAGCTATTTCGTCATGGAAGACAGCTGACAATAACTAGAATATACATGAAGTGTTTGTGTGCTATGCATCTTAAAAAAAAAAAAAACCAAGCCTCAGAAGCCCTCTTTGATTTCCCCATAACTCGAACTCTGAAAAACCAATCCTTACTAGGGAAAGCATGAGAAGAAGGCTGGAATGGAAGGAAACAGCAATCCTAACTGTGGTCAAAATATATTTTTCAAAGTTCATAAAATGGTTTGGCCATGTGCACACACAGCAAGGGTCATGCTCGGGCCTTGGGAGACTCTGGTATACCGGCGAGTAACTTGGCTGTGGATGTTCTCTCCAGGATTTATTGCATGTTTCTTCTTCAGGCTGAGCCCACTCTGCACCTCAACTATGTCATTCTGAGAAATTAATAACTACTTTCGAATGTTCCCAAGGCCTTGGTGAGATCCAAAGTTCATAAATTCTCCTGCAATCAGGAAGTGTTTGATTCCATAGTATCATGCTTTTATGACATAGGTGTGTCCACTGTGGTGCTTATCACAAACCAGAGGGGCAGGTACCTTGGACTGGGCTCTCTTTTCCTTCTCTCCAGTCTCCCCCCTCGCTTCTCTTCTCTCTCATCTCTCCCTCTGTCTCTCTCCAGGAAATCAAACATTGGAGACAAGTACTGGACCACTCAGTTCCACCTCAAGTTTTAGTTATTTAGTTTTATTTAGACTTTAATTTATTTAGACTTTAATTCAACAAGTTGCCCCAGCCAACCTTGAACTTCCGGTCCTGCTGCCTCAGCTTCTGGAGTATCTGTGATTCCCAACCCAGGCCTCCAGGACTGGCTGAATTCCTCCCTTTTTATGGTATCTTTTTACAGTGTTCACAGTGTTTTCTTTCCAGAAGTTTCCCAGGATTGTTTGCCAGTTTAGTGAACCACTAATTGTCTCAATGCATTTCAAACTAACTGGGCTTTTGTTCTGTGGCTGTAACACTTGAGATGTTCCCAAGAGACTGTGATCACAGCAATGCACCAAGCTCTCCCATAGCCTGTGATTAATGCCTCCTAGGTTCACCTTTCCCCTAGCCCCTCCTCATCACCCTCTCCTTCAGAGATCCCCTGCTTCTTCTTCCTCTTCCTCTTCTCCCTCCTCCCCTTCTTTTTTGAGACAGTCTCATGTAGCCCAGGCTGGCCAGAAACTTGTAGAAATCCTCCAGTCTTGATCTTCTGAGCGTTGGGATTATAGGTAAATACCACCATATTCTACATCATTTTCATTCATCCATTGCTTGATTATTATTTCTATTTTCAGAGAACCTCATGTATCTGAGGGTGTTCTTCAACACACTATGTAGACAAAGATGTTCTAGTCAGATGTAGCAGCCCAAAGCTTTAATTCTAGAATGTAGGAGGCAAGGTCAGGCAGATCTCTAAATTTTAGGCTAGCTTGGTCTATCTACAAAGCAAGTTCCAAGAGAGTAAGGCTACTTAGGAAGACCCTATCTCAAAGTAAAAAAACACAACAAAGAGCCTTGAACTTCTGATCATATTGCTTCCAATTCCCTTCTAAGTGCTGAGAAAAAAAGTTTGAGACACCAGCCAGGTGATGGCAACACATGCCTTTAATCTCAGCCCTCGGGAGGCAGAAGCTGGGAAGATCACAAGATCTCCGTGAGTTCAAGGCCAGCCTGGTCTATAAAGTGAGTTCCAGGACAGGCTCCAAAGCTATACAGAAAGAAATTCCTGTCTTGAAAAACAAAACAAACAAACAAAAGAAGAAGCAAGTGCTCTCTTGAAGGGCCGTAATTCCAGAACTATCAGAATAAATGGGTCAAACAGTCAATAGAGAGAATTTAACATTCTTAATGATCTAAAGTGCCAGTTATCAGCTTACATGTGATAGAGAAAACATCACTGGGATTCATTCAGGATTGTAACTCTAAATCTAAAAATCAGAAAGATGGGACTGGGTGTAGTTCAGGTACTAGGGTTCATATCTAGCAAGCCCGAAGGATATTGCATTGCATATTGAAACTGCTGAATTTATACCAGATGATACAGAATTGACTTCATTATTTATCCAGGTGCAAGACATAATCAGGAATAGGTTTTGTCCTATATACATAATACATATCCGATCTCATATGGGTCTGCCAGGTCCTCTAGCACAAGCTAGCGCAGAAATTGAGCAATTATTAATTGGAAGTGTGTTGCAGGCCTAAGAATTTCATAAAAAATCATGTCAATAGCAAAGGTTTAAAGAGTTTTCTATTACATGACAACAAGCCAAGGAGAATATAAAGAGATACTCTTTCTATAACCAAACACCACTACCTGCAGGGAGTAACCCAAAGGGTACTCAAAGAAATGTGAGCTGGCAGATGGATGTGTTCCACTTTGAAGAATTTGGAGAGACGCGGGGCGGCAGCCGACATGTTCCAGGGCTCGGACGGCCAGCCTGGCGAGTCGGGCTCCAGATCCATGAAGCCCCCAGGAGGAGAATCGAGCAATCTTTTTGGAAGTCCAGAAGAAGGTGTTCCTTCAAGCAAACCTAATAGGATGGCATCTAATATTTTTGGACCAACTGAAGAACCTAAAAACATACCGAAGCGGACAAATCCTCCAGGGGGCAAAGGAAGTGGTATCTTTGATGCATCGACTCCTGTGCAGACTCGACAGAGACTGAACCCACCTGGCGGGAAGACTAGTGACATATTTGGGTCCCCAGTCACTGCCACTGCACCCCTGGCACACCCAAACAAGCCCAAGGATCATGTTTTGCTATGTGAAGGTGAAGACTCTAAATCGGACCTGAAAGATACAACAAACTTACCCCGAGGAGAGCAGAGCGAGAAGGGAAGCTCAAAAGAAGCAGACCATGCCAAGATAACAGAGCCCACACCTACAGTTGACAGTCATGAGCCCAGACTGGGACCGCGGCCTTGGTCCCACAACAAGGTCCTGAACCCACCAGGAGGCAAATCCAGCATCTCCTTCTATTGAGAGGCTCCTCCTCTGCCTGTACTCAGACCGGAAACTCAGAGATAGGGTATTGAAATGTTAGTGCTTCCTTTAACCCAAATGAGTCGGGGTGGGAGAGGGGTTGTCATGCGTGTGGGGTTGCCTGCTCATAGGCCTGATGCCTTTGGAGGAGCTGCAGAAGGACTGTGCCTTCCAGACTGCCAAGATACACATCTGTGGGGATAAAGTGGGGCGCTCTTACGCCTCGTCTGTAGTTGTTCTGTGTGGAACAGTAAGGTTCTGGGAAGGGCGAAAGAGATGGCACCCGTTAGCAGAAGGCTCATTAGGGTATGTCTCGTCCTTGTATCAACAGTCTGCTGGCTGTTGGGCATCTAAGAATGGTGGTTTGGCTGGGAAAAAAAGAAAAGAGAAAGAAAGGAAAAAACAAACAAACTACCTATCCCTCACTGTGGGATGGAAGAGAAACACATAGACAAAAACTCTTAAAGACAGAGTGAGGTCTACATAGCCTTTCCTTTCAGGGAATGCTTATCACCAAAATGTTTCCACCTCTGAGGTTACCTCTGAGCCCTAGTGTCTCCTTTTCCTTTTGTTCCCCTCAATACGTCACCCTGTAGTGTTGGAATGTGACTGCTCTTTTTGGTAGCAGTCAGCAGAAAATCAAACAGTTGTTCTCAGTCTTGTCCTGAGTGGAAGGTTTGGATGCCCTGATCCTCTGAATTGTAGTCTCCTTCCTGCTCCTAACACCATGGCCAGGTCTAGGTAGCAGCCTGTCTTCCTTTATGGTTGGTTTGATTCCTGCCATGCCAGGTTTGCATATGGGTTGTTCCTTTTGTTTCTCCCATCAGCCTTGAGTCTAACCTTAGTTCCTCACCGTGAGGGCTCTTGCTATCTGTGGTTCTTCCTGTACATAAGGCCTCAACCTCTGCAGGGTTTTAAAGACTACTCAAATATGTCCAGGTATTGGGTGAATTTTTGATTTTCCCGTCTGTTCCTGTAGTTGGGAGGAAGACCTGCTGAAGAACACTGGGTTGGGTGGGTTTCTTTAGCCATCTGCAGAGGTATTGTTAAGATCAGCAGCTTATGGACTGTGCTTCTAACACCTAGAAAACATCACTGTGTACACCAAAGCAGAAGAGTGGCCTAAGCCACCTTTAGAAAGCTTCAGACTTCTTAACCTTGTTCGTGAACAGTGCCCCTCAGGCCTGGATAGTGAGTATTTTGGCAATAAGGTCACGACTGTCATCTGACAGCAGAGATCCTGGCTCCACAGCCATGCTACCTGCTGCCCGGTCTTTCATGTCAGGCATATCTCCGTCCTGTTCCGTCTTTAAGGGCTGCAGCCTTAGTTCCTTGGTTCCCGCTTGTGGGCGTCTGTGAAAGGGCTCCTGAGTGGTGCTACAGAGCTTTATAGCAGATGCCAGAAATGTCCTCTTCAGAGTTTGGGGAAGCAACAGTTCTGCAGTCACGCTCATTGGCCTAGATGCTAAAGTGCCTGCAGGAGCCCCTGCGGGGTTCTGCTTCCAGCACCTGGTTCATTGAGGGCTTTGACCATGGCTTTGTCAACCAAAGAGTTTATACCTTTCTGCTGCCCTGTTTCCTGAAGCCAAGAAACATGTATTACATGTATGTAATTCTGTAACAACTCAAATGGGTTGTGGTTAAGTCATGAGGATGTCATTTGGAATTCAGAGTATGTTTTCCATTTAAGAAAATGTCATAAATGTTTGCTTATTTTGCCCAGACTCTAACATCTTTAACTTATAAGGAAATGATACAATGATAGAAACAAACCTCCTTTTGTAACTGCTTTCTTAAGTAGAAAATGATTTGTGAGTTCCAAATTGCATTGTCAATAAAAAAATCTGACATCACTGTGCTGGCCCTGCTGCTGGTCCAGCGAGAGAAGAGCTCCAAGACCACTTGCTGGCCTGGATGGCTGAGAGACTATGGGAACCTGAGACAGTGACCCATAGCAGCTGCCTTACTCGCTCCTCTTTCTCTGAAACTGGGCCCAGAGCATGGCCAGTCTGCCGCCCAGGAAGAGGCCCTGCCCGGCTAAATCCAGTGGAATACAGTTCTCACACCTGCATTAGCCTTAACACTTTGTTTAAGTGCATTTGGTGCCAACATTTTTCTAGCACTATGTCAGAGCAAGAAACCTGTCCTTACATCATAATGCGATTTTATAGGAATGTTTTGTTATTTTTATGAGACAAAACGGGGTATAATGGTTGAATTAAACTTAGTAACCACAAAAAAAAAGAATTTGGAAAATTAAAATATGTACACCATACCATTGACACTTATTCAGGCTTTCAGTGGGCAACTGCTTTAAGCTCAGAAAAGGCTGATTCAGTAATCACACATTTATTAGAAGTTATGGCCATCATGGGTATACATGCACAAATAAAGACAGATAGTGGTCCAGTGTATGTCTCTAGGAAAATGAAACATTTTTTGCATATTATAATATTAAGCATGTTGCAGGTATACCACACAATCCTACAGGTCAAGTAGTTATAGAAAGATCAAATTGAACTATAAAGGATATGTTAAACAAACAAAAAGGGGTAGAAAATGCTGCTGTGGGAAGCACATACAAAGTTAAATTATATAGAATATTGTATGCATGCATGCTTCTACCTCTGCTTAAAACAAGTTTTTATATATTGATATAAATTTATTATATTTCAATGTACATTTCTACCTCTGATCAAGATACTTATACATCATTTACATTTGGAGGTCATTGTCCTCATTTATTACACAGTTGTTTATTGTCTTAATCTTTAAGTTATATAGGTATTAAGAATTATAGATCAATAGTCATCTATGTTTGTCATACTTATAGTTAGACTTGATTCTGCAAGTAGCCTCTGGTTCTCAGACTTCAGGAAAGGGTGAGAGTCGGTTGTTCAAGTTTAGAGTCATGGGAGCTGCAGGTAGTGAAGTAGAGAAAGGGGCAGGCAGGGTGCTGGACGGCGTCTTGGACTTGCATCTCAAGCAGGGAGTGGCCAGATATTTTCTACTTAACTGTTGATAAAGTTTGGCCATTTTCAATTATGTCATTTTATGAAGTGCAGTGATGAAAACCATTGTGGTTAGTATTTGAGAGTCCACTGTCTTCTTTACTCAGGGAAAGAAGTATGTGTAAAGTGTGTAGGGTGTGTGTGTAGTGTAGTGGGTGTAGGGTGTGTAAGGTGTGCAGGGTGTGTGGGGTGTGTAGGGTGGGTGGGGTTTTTAGGGTGTGTGGGGTGTGTAGTGTGTGTATATATGTTTAGGGTGTGCAGTGTGTATAGGGTGTTTAGGGTGTGTAGGGTGTATGGAGTGTGTATGGGGTATGTAGTGTGCCTGAGAAGGGCTAAGCTTCATTCCTGCCACTTGCATTCAATCATGAGGGATGGGTGGGGAAGAGACTAAGGGACCCACGGGAGAGCAGCCCTAGGGGCTCAGGGTGATAGATCTGCAGGTAGGGAAAAGCCCAAAAAGGGGAAAGACCTGTCTGTCAAAGGAAGTTTGGAAGGTGTAGACATGTTTGTTAGTGATTGCATCATAGAAGATGATAGCTCCACGGTCATAATCCACATAGACACCCACTTTCGTAAGACAGATTGAGAGATTCTTCTGGGTACTGCAGTTGGTGATTGGCTGACATCCAGAGGACGAGATCCGCAATGCCCACAAGCAGCATGGCTCAGAGTTCTGAATCTGGGACCCCTGAGGCAACTTGGCGACCACACCCACTATGCCAAGCATACCTGGGGGTCCCTGGATTTCTGCCTCCCACACCACACAGCCTGAGGAGAGGCCTGGGGAGCCCCTCACACAGTGGAAAGGATAGAGTTGTCGAGGTTTTGCCTGAGTATTAGATTTGCCATCGATGACATACAAGCTTGCTTTCTTTAGATCCTGAGAAAAGATGAGGTTTGGGTCAGCTGAGGCCATGTCCAGGGTCATAGGTTCTGTGGAAAGATAAAGAAGAGTGAAGAGGGATGGTTTCAGGCCAAGTCCTCCAGCATTCGGCTTTTGAGTTTCTCATGATGTAGCTAGAGGGAGAATTTCCCCTTCAAATTCAGAATCCATGTCCTCAGAGAAGACTTCTGCCTGTTTATTTTTGTTTTCTGAGAAGGGGGGTCTCATATAACCCAAGCAGGACTGAAATTTTCTGTGCAGCTAAGGACAATCTTGAACTTCTTATTTTTTAAACTGCACCTCCCTAGTGCTGGAATTATAGATGTGGGATACCATGCCCATGCTCTCTACACCCCCTCTCCAGTATCTCTCCCCACACTCCATCCCCAGGCCTCAAATTTAGCCCCTGATTTTAAGAGGTTCTGTTCTGTGGGTGCAGAGGGAAGCTCCCCCAGTCCACGTGGTAGTAGAATCATTTTGTACAGAGGCCTTGAATCAAGGTCATAAAACCCTGGACAATTTGGATCTTCTAACAATGAAGATATGCCTTCCCATTTCCACATTTCCTGGTTCTCATTTGGCAAACAGTTGGGGCTACTATGAGAGGTCAGGTTCAGCCTGATTTTCTAAAGTTGGGGTCACCACTAGTCTGACTTTCTGAAACTGATTTCCTGGGGCCAGGAGGTGACTCAAACAACAAGGCCTGTGCCCCCAAACCTGACACCTGATTTCAGTCCAGAAACCCACATGGTGGGAGACTGACTTCCCCAAGTCATCCTTTGACTCCCCACATAGGCACGTGTGTGCATGTGTGAGTGCACATAATAGAATGGAATCCCTCAAACACAGGAGGACTGAAGAAGTGGATATTCAGAAACTCTTGATGTGTCCCACCCTCGTATTATGGCTTAGACACTGAATGGCAGTTTATTAAAGCTATAGAGTCTTTATCTGTCCTATTCAAAGACTAGAGCATCAGTGGTCCCAGCTCTGCTAAGGTTTAGAAAGTGGGAACATTTTAGCCCCTCATTTGGTGTTGAATTTCAGCCTTTGCTGCAATGATAGTTTTCCTCTGCTGTGTGCAGGGCTTGGGGAGAGATGATGGATGTGGAAGTGTGCATTAAAGCAAGTGGTCAGGGTCACTGGGGTAGGCTAGGGGCATGACCCAAGCAGATCTTACCCATTTCTGATCTCCAGACCTGGCTAAGTTGCATTACTGGGGGTCAGGGGTGTGGGGATGAAAACTATAGAGAAAGACAGTGGTAGGAACTTCTAAGGTCTACCGGGGGCATCAGAATCAAAGCAATTGGAGAAGAGCAGCATTGGGTGAGAATGACCACCACGGGGGCTCGTCTTCTGTTTTGTTGGAGGTGCTCATTGCCAGGCATGGTGGTGCATACACCTCTAATTCCAGCACTTGGGAAGCTGAGACAGGAGAACTACCATGAGTTCAAAGGCAGTCTGGGCTACATGAGATTCTGTCTCAAAAGCAAGCAAACAAAGAAAGGACTGAGGAGATGGTTTGGCTGTGTAGGCATGAGGACATGAGTCGTGATCCCCAGCATCTAATGATAAAATCTTGGTGTGGCCCTTGCACACCTGTAACCCTGGGGCTGAGTAGCAGAGATGGCTGGATGGGCATGGGCCTCAGTAGCAAGACAGCCCACACTATCTAGTGAGCTTGAGGTTCTTGTCCATGAAACTAAGGAAGAGTGTAAAAGAAGATGCCTAAGTCTAGCCTCCATGAGTTCACATGCACACATACACATACGCACACACGCACTTACCACATACACCACACACATGCACACATACAGCACACACATACACCACACACATGAGCACACACAAAGTGCACACACGCACAAACATACCACACACACCACACACCACAAACATCACACACATGCGTGCACACCTGCATCACACACATGTGTACACATGCACAAACACACATCACACATGCGCACACATGCACACAATCCAGCCAGAGGGAGAGAAGAAAGAAAGAACTAATAAAAGACAAGTGAGATGGCTTGGCAGATACAGATACAGATGCTTGCTCCCTAAGCCCAAAACTCATAAAATTTTCATGTAAGGGGAGAACACTCTTCACAAAATATCCTCTCATCTCCATTGTGCATAAGTATAAACGTAAATTTTAATCAAGAAAATAAAAATTTTAAAGAGAAAATGCAAAGGGTTTGGGGGAGCTAGAAGGAAAGAGCAACATCCAGGGGTGTGCAGCCCACAACTCTGATGTTGTCAGTGTGCACAGAGCCCAGCTCACATCCAGCTCCTCCTCCAGGAACATGGAGTAAGGGGCTCAGTTTTGCTCCAGAGCAGTGCTGAAGGGGGATGCTGTCCCAGAAAGGGGGCCTCGAAGTGAAAGGGGATGGAATAGGGCTGAGCATTAGGTCCTGCTGAGCTGCAGAGGCAGTAGGAGGGGCATAGACCAAGCAGCAGGGTGCACCTGCACATTAGGGGTCCCTTGTTGGTGGCTAGGTCTTTCCTAGTGAAGGTATAGCTTGGGAAGCAGAAGAGGGAGATGCCTGGCCCTCATTCTCAGTCTACCCATCTCAGGCCCCTGAGGTCTGCACAATTACACAGCCCTTCTCTGTCCCTTCTGTGGGAAGCCTTACTCATCTTTCCAATCTTTTTTGTTGTTGTTGTTGTTGTTGTTGTTCCTGTATTTCTCAGGGGAGCTTGGAGCAATCAGGGTGTTCTGCATGTTAGGTAGCTCTTCCCAGGGTCTGGTCTCTAACTTTCCTCTGCTGTATCAGAGCCATGAATGAACAGAACACTTTGACTTGCACACCTAGCAAACCCTTGCTTCCCTACAGAAAGACCCGTGTGTCAAGCAAAAAACCTACCTGAGCTGAGCAACTCTGAGTTGTTCATCTGTAACAGGAGCCCTAAGATTTGAGAGAGAAAACAAATTTTAGGTTAATAACAAGTGGCTATAAATTAAAAGTCATATTGGGGATGAGCAGCTGATCCTGGCTTTTATCCTGACTGCCCTCAAAGCTGAACCAATCAGATGACATCATAACAGGCATTGTCCCAGTGGATCTCAACTCCTCAGCTCTGCTGGGCAACTAGGCCTGTTAGGTCAGCTCCAACTACAGACTGAGCTGCCTCCGCCTGAGCCTTGTGCAATGAAGAAATACACCTATAAATTTCCATTTATAATGAACATTTTTAATTAGTCGGGGTGTCACTATGATTACCTAAAAGTACAATAATAAAATAATTCTATAAGCTTGTTCTTCATTGGTGTTAACACACACACTGGACCTTTCATCCTCAATCTCCCATTGAGAAGACATTTTGTATTCTTCACTTTCCCCAAACACCAGATTATGTACACACTTACAGTTCTTTGTGTCCTTTATATCCAGGCTGTTCAGGAATGTGCTTTTATCTTCCTTTCCTTCAGTTGTCAAGTTGTCTGTGAGGAGAGAGTGAAGGAGATGGAGTGTTGACAGAGGTTAAGCAGGCAACAGGAACCACACAGTGAGGCACTGATTGCTCATGTAGGAAGATGTGTTACTGGGATTTCTCGCGTAGTCTCAGTGGACAAAGAAGGCAGCAAACAGGGAGAGCTTCCCTTGAATCTCCCTGATGTGGCTCTTCAGTACAGCCCAGTCCAGAACAGAAATATTGGAGCCACAAGCATAAGCCACTGGATTTGGAATTTTCTAGATGTTATTTTGAAACCCTAAAAGACCAGGGCATGCTGACACAGGAGGATGTCAACTTTTAGTCCACAGTACATAGTGAGTTCCAGTGTCTCAAAAGGAAAGGAAAAGGGAGCTGGAAAGAGGCCTCAGTGGTTAACAGCACCAGGGAACCCGGTTCAGTTCTCAGCATCCACTGAAACTCCAGTCCCAGGGCACTGGCACCCTCTTCTGACTTCCATGGACACCAGTCATATATACAACACATGCACTCAAAACACCCATACAAATAAAATAAATAAAACATTTTTAAAAGTAAATGAAATGAATTTAAATAATATGTTTTCTTTAGCTCAGAATGTTAAAACATACTGTCATTTCAGCATGTCCAATAAAGGTTGAATGCTATCTGGGCACTGTGCTTTGTGTTCTAGACCCAGTTACTCAGAAGATCACTGCGGTCTTCCATAAGAGACTACCCTGGACAATATTTCTGTTTGCTTTTGTTTTCATTTCTATATTTTATGCTCCATTTTAATATTATTTCTTTTAGAGTCAATGTGTATTCTTTGCGTACACTATGTATGAATGCGGTGTTTTGATGCCCAGGGATACATGTGATAAGCAACAACCAAATTGGTAACATACTTCTAGTCCCATGTTCACCACCAAGTAAATAAGGAAAATTTCTGAGCTAAGAGGTGCTTTGACTCTGGGGATGTAGCTCAGACTGCAGAGTGCTTCTCAAGCAAGCATGAAGTCCCGCATTCTATCCTCAGCATTAAACCTAATGAAACACAACATGAGAAATTTCTGCATAATGGTTCTATGAAGGTACTCAGCATTCAGCCTGGGTTCTGAAAGGCTCAGGTCTGGCACCAGAGACATCAGGCAGTATCTTGGTTGATGAAAAGAATCCTGAGGCAGGTAAGCAAAGGAAGTGGCAGACACATCTTACCTGATAATTTTTTTCAGTCTTTCTATCTTGGACTCATTACTTGCTTTTGCTTCACTGACTTTTTTATCCAGGTTAGGAACTGGGGTTGGGTTCTGAAACTGAAATTCTGTATCCCTGTGAAGATATGTTGATCTTAGTGGTAAGTTTCAGGATAGAGAGTGGGCAGGAAGGACCTGGGAGCTCATTCCTGGGGAGGAGGCAGAGTGATAAATACAGTCTAGAGCCAGGGAACTGAGTGTCAGGGGCTGTTGACAGAGGTTTCTGATGTGGGAGTGTCATATCAATCTGTTGATTTCATTGGTTGAGCAATAAAGAAACTGCTTGGCTGGCCCTGATAGGTTAAAGCATAGGTGGGAGGAGTAAACAGAATAGAATTCTGGGAGGAAGAGGAAGTGAGGTCAGACTCTGCTCTGCTCCCGGAGAGACCCAACAGCTCTGCTCTCTGGAGCAGAGACGCCATGCTCAGCTCTCCCGGGTAGACTTGACAGCTCTGCTCTCTGGAGCAGAGATGCCAGGCTCCGCTCTCCCAGGCAGCTCCGACCCAGGATGGATGTAGGCTAGAATCTTCCCGGTAAGCGCACCTTGGAGTGCTTACATTATTAGAAATGGGCTAGTCCAGGTGCGAGAATTAGCCTAGAAGAGGCTAGATAGAAACGGGCCAAGCAGTCTTTAAATTAATACAGTTTGTGTGTTGTTATTTCGGGCATAAGCTAGCCAAGTGGCCAGGGTGCTAGGGACGCAGCCCTGCCGCCACTCCTATCTCAACAGGTTTCTGTCCTGCCTGGTCACACAGCCTTTCAGTCCCAAAGAAACACACAGAGGTCTACATAAATCATAAACTGCTTGACCTATTAGCTTCAGGCTTCTTATCAACTCTTATAACTTACATTAACCCATAATTCTTGTCTCTATTAACCATGTGGTTTGGTACCTTTTGTCAGCAAGGTATTCCCATCTTGCTTCCTCTGTTTCTGGGTGATGACTACAGAGGTGCTTTTCTTCTTCCTAGAATTCTCCTGTTCTGGTCACCCCACCTCTACTTCCTGCCTGGCTGCCCTGCCTATACATCCTAACTGGCTACTGGCCAATCAGCATATTATTAAACTAGTACAATAGATAAAACTTTGCAGGATATAAGACCATTGTCCCCTGTCAGGGAGGCCAGGACAGGAATGCAGGCTGAATGAGATCAGACCCAAGAAAATATAAAAAATGAAGATGAGAGATGGATCAGAAAAGAGAAAAGGGACAGGAATTAGGGAGGTAGAGTAGGAAACCCAGGGTTCACCTCATTGACCAAGAGGAATGTGGGAGAGGAATGAAGCTGGGAAAGAAAATACTGATCTGTGTGATTATTTCAGCAGTCTGAGCAGCCAGGAACAAACAAGCGGCCTCAATACAACAAACTGGTGCTCAAGCTTGTGCCATTTTAATCTGCATAAAACCTAAGAAAGTAAAAAGTAATTTTAGACATAAAAGAATGAGTTAATCATGACTTCTTGGTAGCCAGCATTTTGCTAATGGCATGTTGCATCTCCTTTAAGAGAGGTCTTTCTGATTCAGCAGTAGCAT